ATTCAAAAAGATGTGTTCGGAATGTTGGGCAGAAAAGTACGGTACGTTAGTTATTGTTAAGACTTTCCTCTTAATTATGGTCGATACAGAGTAGGATTTGATAAGTACATAAAATTGTAGGCTTATCATGTACGCCATCAGTCAGTAACATGATGTCAAAGGACCAAGTTTGCCGTTGCTAGTCATAAAAGAAAGATCGCAGAACTTGCTCGAGCTATACGTAAAAAGTATCTTACTTTAAGTTAGGTCGAACTGCAGAAGATGAATCTATTAGAAAACTTTCAAACCAATATCTGAACCTCTTAAGCAAATAGCTAAGACTCAGCAGCATCCTTCATTTATTATTAAAAAAGAGGAAAAATTGAAACAGGATGATGATGATGATGATGATGATGTATTCACACAGAACCCAAACTATCTCAATTTAGAAGACGTGGCTTCAACTGATGAACAAGGTAATATACCGCCGAGACCTGAAACACCACCACTACCTGAAGAATGCGTCCTGCTGATTTTTCACAAGAAGCAATAGAAGAATACTTAGATCAATATCCCCCAATAAGCCATAATTATTTACAAGATTTTTGGACACAAAACGATAAAATTGATAAAAATTATGGACCTATATATACCGACAACATTGGTTGGATGTTAGGTAAACGCCGAATTAAATTTGATAGAGCGACTGGCCAAATACAGATATTACCTGAGGGGACAAACTTAGCAGGTACATGGTTTCGTGGCACACCTGGGCTGTATCAACTTTTATTCTATAATGACCCAAACTATGCAGATGCAGATTTACAACCCTATAAAAATCTATTGCAAAGTACCGGTGTTCATTTAGATTCGCTTGGACGCCTAAAAGGTTCGACAGGATTTAAATATAATCACATTATTAAGCCTCTCTTTAAAGATGTGCAGAAAAATAAAGGTACAATTGTCACACGATCAACATCTACAAAAATACGTAGTCCACTTAGTCGATCATTAACAAGATCCACTCCCTCAACAACAACAACAACAACAACATCATCAACATCAAAACCGCCAACAGGAAAAGGTATCGGTGATTACTTGACATACAACGAGGAACCAATCGAATACGTGTACTGGGATGATCCCAATGAATTAATCGATCGACTTAAACTCCTTATGGCATCTCAGGAAGCTGGCAATACGTCGCATGATAATGAAATAGTAGCCATCCTCAACGAGCTAAAAGAAGCTAATATAATACAGTAATCTAGTTCCTTGGTCTTTCATTTACACGATGAGTCTTGATAAATTCGGACGTCGCTTTGATAAACAAAAGACACTTCCGTATATGCGTACACCGCCAAAGTTAACACTACCCCATACTTCTGATGGAAATGTTGACTTCAAGAACGTAAAGTTGTGTAATATAAAAGATCCCACAGATAATTCAGATGCGGCAACTAAAAAATACGTAGATACTTCAGTGATTGATTTAAAAAAAATAACAGCAAAAACAGATCAAATAACAGAGTTTATTTCGAGAAATCCGCCTACTTCTGGTAAACATATGGCAACAAAAAAATATGTAGATGACTCTATTGCAAATATAACAACAAGAATAGAACAGGAGTTGGCTACAATTAAGTCTCATACCGATTTGACTCCAATACGGAAAAATATCATTGAATGAATTACAACTTTTGCAAGGACGCACATCATATATCATTGAAAACATTCGATCTTGCTAAGCGTATAAAGCCGATGGAACAACAATTTAAAGCGTTAAAACATGATGACGTACGCCAAGGAGAAGCTACAACTAGTTAACGAGCTGCACAAGCCTGCTCGAAAAAATTATCTAAGACGACGTACCATCATTAAAGGCTTAGACGATTTATGGCAGACGGACTTGGCTGAAATGCGACCTTATGCTCATCAAAATAAAAATTTCAAATTAATTCTCGTCGTAATCGATTCTTTTTCCAAGTTTATGTGGACTAGACCGTTAAAGACAAAGACGGGTGAGGAGATAACTCGTGCGTTTTCGGATATCCTCGCACATACGGAACGTACGCCGAAAAATCTACAATCTGATCAAGGTAAAGAATTTTACAATAGTAAATTTCAAACTTTAATGAAGAAGCATGATATTAATCATTATAGTACATATAGCATCAAGAAAGCGGCCATTGCTGAAAGAGCCATAAGGACGTTGAAAAATAAACTTTACAAATACTTTAGCTTAATGGGATCGTATAAATGGATTGATATATTACAAAGCATTACCAATGAATACAATGGAACACGTCATCAAACCATCGGATGTAAACCATCACAAATTAATAAATCCAACGAAAAATGTATCTTAAATCGAAAATATACTCATTTAAAAATCGCGGGCCCGCGTAAGTTTAAAGTTGGTGACATTGTACGCATCAGCAAAACCAAAATGCTATTCGACAAGGGATACGTTCCAAGCTGGACAACGGAATTATTTAAAGTTACTAAAATTAATATTACCAACCCTGCAACGTACATGCTCGAAGATATGCAAGGTGCACCGATCAAAGGAGCCTTTTATGACGAAGAATTACAGAAAACAGCCAATCCAGATGTTTATTTAGTTGAAAAAGTTTTACGTCGTAAAGGTAAAAAAATGTACGTCAAATGGCTTGGCCTTGATGCAAAACATAATAGTTGGATTGACAATGATGCGATCGTCTAGGTGTATGGGGTGGGGGGGTTTCTGCTAAAAGTGAGTTCTCAGTCGGTTGCAGTCAGTCAGTCAGTCAGTCAGGCAGCTAGTAAAAAAAAAAAATGGATACCAGTGGTAGTGGTTCAAGTTGCAGCGAGTTTGACCTCACCACCAGCAGCTCACACGAATCATCTGTAAACTACGACCGTGAGCTGGATGCTATTCTGGAAAGGTACGAAGAAGCGGCCAAGAA